GCAGTGAAAGTAAAAAGTATTTAAGTAAATGGTCTATACCTCTGACAGCGCCAGTGCCTATGGACAGCAGTAGATCATAGATAATACACTCATTATTTAAGAATTTTATGACGTAACCTTTTGCCATCAGATGGGCCTCGCAAAAACTCTTTAAATGTTTTGGTTAATATTATAAATGTGAAATTTTGTGAGAATGACATTCGTTACCGCTTCGCTTATAAACTACATATGGTTTTTGTTGGAAATTTACAATTTAAATAGCCCACGTCATTTTATAACACGTAGATTACAATATAATAGGGGTTGAAGTATTAAATTGCCGTTCCATTGTAATAGGTACTTCGAACTGACATAGAACCTTCATGGTTTGGGATTTTTAAGTGAAACTTTTTTCAAATGGTACCTATAAGGTTCGTCTTTTAAAAAATGTACAAACATCAACTTTCAGTTGTTTTTTTATTCAGCGTCAGGAGGAAATCGCCGGACTTCCGTCCTTCACTGGGTATGTAGGGCGGGGCATGTCGGAGTCGAACCGACTCCTGTCACTTTTTTTATTGCTTGTATGGGTAGACAAGCTCACAGCTCACCTGGTGTTAAGTGCTTACTGGAGCTCATAGACATCTACGACGTAAATGCGCCACCCACCTTGAGACATACGTTCTAAAGTCTCAGTATAGGTACAACGGCTGCCCCACCCTTCAAACCGAAACGCATTGCTGCTTCACGGTAGAAATAGGCGTAGTGGTGGTACCTACCCGTGCGGACTTACAAAAGATCCTACCACCAGTAATTACGCAAATTATAATTTTGCGGGTTTGATTTTCTTGTCGCTCAACAACCAACATCCAAACCTCGCATGAGACAGAACTCATGAAAAGTCAAAAGGGGGAAAGTGAAGCGCTTAGTGCGGAGCACATCTCTCCCATCACTCTCCCTCTTTTTATTCAGCTTAGACAAGAAAGATAGATTGAAAATTCGAGTGATTTTTTAATACGAGTTCCGACGCGAAACTAACGCTGCAGAAACAGTTCGCAATATCAACGTTGCATTTGGAGAGGGGACTGCTAATGAACGCACCGTGCGATTTTGTTTTAAACGCAAAAGCGCAATCATAAAAATGATGGAAATTTTGATTTGAAGAACGAACCACGTGGAAGACCTCCCATGTGAATAACAGTGAATTGAAAGAGATGGTGGAAACCGATCCGAACCAAACTACCCAGGAATTAGCGGCATGGTTTAACGTTACCTTACCAACAATATTGACTCATTTGCATCAAATCAATAAAAAATATATCTATGAAAAATGGGTGCCTCATGATTTGACATGATGACTGATCTGCAGAAAGAAACGCATGTTGAAACTTGTGTTGCCTTGTTGAATCAATACAGAAATGAAGGAATATTGGATCGAATTGTGACATGTGATGGAAAGTAGATTATTTACGATAGCCGTAAGCGAAAAATGCAATGGCTGACCCCAGGTCAAACACGGCATCGTGTCCTAAAGCAAAGCTTACCAATAAAAAGGTAATGGCAACTGTTTATATGTTAAATGAAAAAAAAACGAATTTCAATTTTTCAGTACAAATCAGTAATTACATACTTTACCCCCTAATATTATGATCAAGGTGGCGTGCGGGTAGTTTTAGGCAATCGATGTTTTTCGCTCAATTCAAACGACGTTTTTTTTGTGTTTTTTTTTTTCCACAGGAGAAAATCGCCGGATCCCCACCCGCGCGGCAGGTGTGGTATGTGGGAGTTGAACCTCACTAAAAACTCCTGCCGCTCACAACCGGCGCCCTACCTCGGACCGGGCCGGAGCCCAGTCGGGGCTATTGAAACGGCGGGACAGGGTTGACGCAGAGCACATTACATCCATCCCACCGTCCCACGGACGCCGGACCGGTGGTCGTTTCGCTGGCGTTTCGTTTCCCTCGTTCAGCGGGCCGAGAGCCCGCTTTGATGGCGCCGCGTTACACCTTCCCCCAGAGCGGTCGGGGGAACGCGGTCTACCATCACCCGGCTTCCTATTGCGGGTGAGCGTGCAGAGCACGCCACCCCTCGTCTGGGTCCCTCCCCGCACAAAACGGGTGGGACCCCTAGCTCTTAGGGGGCCAGGCCACAATTCAAGCGACGTGACCGAATTTCAGTACCCGGTCACCGTCCTCGTCGAACTCGTCGACTCCGATGAAGAGTTCGACGAGCGAATTAACCCACAGACGCAGCCCACTGAGTTTCTCGCCGGATCTTCTCAGTGGGTCGCGTTTCCGATCCGGTGGTAGATTCTGCGAAGCACCGCTCCTGCTAGGACCAGTGTTAGCAACACTCCAGTTTGAGCCCCGTGAGCTCATCTACATGTTAGGGCGAAGCTGAAATAGCCTCTCAAGGCTATCAGCACAGGTAATAAAAAACAGTAAATAATCAATAAATTTACTAATTTTGCTTTTAAATTAGTCTAGATAAGGCTTTCGGTACAATGGCATCATTTTCGCTCTTACGATGTTTCGATTCGGCTTCTACCACGATCTACTCGCAAACAAATCTCTTAAATTTAATTATCTATTACGTTTATAATAAGAATAACAGAGAAGATCGTCGTCTCAATTGACACACAAATACGCTTTCTTTTACCAAAGCGTAATATTAAAAGCAACAGCGGGCTTTACGGAAATAATAAAAATAAATGACACATACACAATTCTGAAGTTATTATAAATGTAAAATTTATTTCATCGTTATCAATTACAATTTTTTTAATAACTTTTAAAGTTATTTGTTTTGTTTAAATTAATTCTTAATATGTTTAGTTCTTTTTACGGATAATCATTTGATAATCGTTCGGATACTTTATATTTTTGGTTTATTTTTCGTCATTTTGTCATCAATCATCAAATGATAATTAAGAAAAACTAACGTGCGAATAAACCGTAAAATTATTAGATAAATTATTATTAGATATAGTTTTTCATGTCGGTAATGTTACATGAAACTCTATTTAAAAAAGGTTTGTTTTTTTTTTTTTTTTTTTCGAACCAAGCCACCCCCGGTGAGGTCACAAGCGGTATACTAATACGTCCAATAAAACAAGTGGTCGCTTGACCGCTGGAAGCGTAGATCTTGATTAGTCAATTAAGAATCCGAATAACAGCGTCAATAAAACGTATCCGATGATTTCTCAGTATTTTTGTTACGTTGTAATCAATATATCGACGGCGGCGTTCGTCTGTTGTTGAAACAAATGTAATTTTTATTGGCGTGTCGAATCTCCTGAGGTCGGCGGTTGCTGTGACCGGAATTCTCGAATCTCGCTACGGGTACCGTTCGCGTTAGGATGAAACCTTTTGAAGTGAAAACTTCTTTAGAATCGTTGTGATTTCAAACCGGATGCAACGGAAAAAACGACAGGTAAGAGACACAAATACAAAAATGTGTAGGATGAAGCCAGCAAAGAATGAGACAGAAATATACATACTATTTAATACAGCGCCATCTGTGAGATTTTTTAATACTAACGTGTGTATGAAAGCTCTTGTAGTGAATTTTAATTTAGGATTATACGTGAAATTAAAATATCAATTCACAGAGGGCGCTACCTCACAATTATTTACTAATGACAACATTTTACATATCTTTAAGACGTTTAGGATAATTGTATTTTAATTTTGGAAGGTTTCACTTCTACCACGTGTGAATTGCACACATTTTATTTTTATTTTTATATAATATTTGATATAAAAAAATGTATTTATCAGTGCACGCAATGGAAGCCGCTAATTCATGAAAAGTCGTTAATTTCGTGACGAGAAATTTCTTGTGTCCGCGTTTCATTTCTGGTTAATGATGGTTCGACATTTAAGATTTCCGGCTTCTATGAAGGCAGTAATGGTGTTGCCATAAAAAACACAAAAAAAACGATAAATCGATAATAGTTACTTTAACTAAATCAATGCTATCATACAAAAATAATCATAATTATTGTTAAAGGTACTTTCTGTGTTATTATATATATTTTTACAAAACGGTAACCTATAGTACCCCGTGCTTGGCCTAAAAGTCTAGGTACCAGGCCATCAAATACAACAAAAAAAACCCGTATGGTACCCTTCGAAGCGTAGTCGTTTAAATGTTTAATATTTTTAGAAAAATATTACCAACTTGCACAGAATAATGAATACAAGGAACAACTAGGATAAATATTAATATATTCTTTTAGTGTGACCAGATTACCGTGCAGCTCTGGGCTTAGATCAGGCATGCCCCTTTACACTCATTATCCGCCATCATTGGCGACGTAATGTCTTATTGTAAACGAAACTTCGCTTAGAAACTTATTCGGAAACAAAAACCGTGCACGGAACCGCGTTTAAATCGTAATTGTCTCGATCTGCGGCCGTGTCGAAAGGCCACCTCAAGAAGCCGAAAGCGATGTGCCGCTTCGGAGTTTTATTGTTCATAATTACAACTAAATGTCGGGCCGAAGTCTTGTGTGTGTGTGATTCTTACGTTTTTTTTTTAAACTATATGTATTACACCTTTATTTGGGCACCAAATTAGAATATGGCATTTTTTTTTGTTTTTGTTTTTTGTATATACTTCCTTGTATGTAACGAATCATGAATTTCATTAGATGTGAAATCTCATACGAAAATTTAATGTTAGAATTTACTTTAGATTTCACTGGTGGTAGGACCTCTTAAGTCAGCATGGGTAGGTACCACCACCCCGCCTATTTCTGCGCGTGAAGCAGTAATGCGTTTCGGTTTGAAGGGTGCGGCAGCCGTTGTAACTATACTGAGACCTTAGAACGTATATCTCAAGGTGGGTGACGCATTTACGTTATAGATGTCTTCTATGGGTTCTAGTAACCACTTAACACCAGGTGGGCTGTGAGCTCATCCATCCATCTAAGCAATAAAAAAAACTAACTAGGTAAATAAGTAGCTTTCACAAAACCGCGAAGTAACTATCTAAATGTATAAAAAACCTTCAAGACCAACCTTAGTCTTGCTTCCGCCGATTGAACCGGGCCGAATCGAGCCGGTCTCGTAAAACCTCGTCAGGATCTTGGAGACGCATCCGTGGGACACGAGCAACTGTCTGCTGATGTCGCAAGGCCTGACGCCCATGATGGCCAGCTCGACAATCCTCTTGCGAACCACGTCGGGGAGGGGACGACCGTTTACGAAAACGCCCCCTAGCTGATTGACCCCGGCTTGACCTGGGAAGGAAACAAATTTATTACAATTTGACCTTCTCTTTAGTTTATTTTTATTTTTATTGCTTCGATGGGTTAACGATCTCACAGCACACCTAGTAGGTATTGAGTGGTTACTGGAGCCTATAGACCTCTACAACGTAAATGCGCCACCCACCTTGAGATATAAGTTCTAAGGTCTCAGTATAGTTACAACGGCTACCCCACCCTTCAAACCGAAACGCATTACTGCTTCACGGCAGAAACAGGCAGGGTGGTGGTATCTACCCGTGCGGACTCACAAGACGTCCTACCACCAGTAGTACCATGTATGGACAAAAATACTTTTAGGTATGACTGTGTCTGTTGTCTAATTATAGACTTGAAAACAAAAAGGTCTTAAATGCCTCATTGTGAGTACGTATTGTAAGTTTAAACGACACGGTACTAATATCGACCCTTCTGCCGCTAAACAGACAAACGTTTTACTTTGGAGAGTAACACCAAGTAACACAGATATTCCAGTCGACATCGCCCAAAACACGTCATTTCGGATCCTCCCGATCCACTAATCAAGGACCGGTCATCGTTCTCGTCGAATCCGTCGCTTACGACGTAAGGCTCGGCGAGTAAATTAACCCACAGACACAGCCCCCTAAAATTCTCACCGGATCTTCTCAGTGGGTCGCGTTTCCGATCCGGTGGTAGATTCTGCGAAGCACTGTTCTTGCTAGGGTTAGTGTTAGCAACACCGTCAGGCTTGAGTCCCGTGAGCTCACCTACTTGTTAGGTTACACTGACAGTCTCTCAAGGCTATCATCTATCAGCTTAGGTAGGAAAAAAAGGAGATCATTAATTTTGAATAAAAGTTTTAAATTATTTTTTTAATTCTTTCGGTTAATTAAAAGTACTTTTACGGTTTAATCTCACGTTTATTAATGTCATTACATTATTTCGGTCATTTCGGATACAGTTTACAGCTTTTACGGTCACGGACAAGCAGCTTTAATTATAATTGTATTAATGATTATTTACGCCTACATTTTCCTTATTAAAATAATCAATAATTGTCTGAGTAATTATAATAATATCGAGACTTATAATCTATAAGTTTTAAGGGATTTTATGACCTGGTAACTAAGACCTTTAGGTCAAGTCTTATTTTAATTTGAATGAAAACTTTTTTTATGTGAAAAATGATATTATAAAATGAAATGAAGATAATTAATTTGAGATATTAATCAAATGGGATGAAATCCCATGAAAATGAAATGACATGAAATGATATGGGATGAAATATAATCTTAGTAAAATGGTGGTCATTTACTGAGATTTTTTCAGTGGACTTTTTGGAGGATCCCGAGAAGTTATGTCCAGCGGCTTTGTTTCATTTTCCCTCATTTGTGCACTTTCACAGATATTAAACAGTTAATAAACCACCGTTATTACCCATTCAAACCTGAAGAAACACTAAATAGACCAATTAAAACAAAAAGTCAGACTTATAATCTACATGTTACATTTGTCTGAACAAAAAAAAAAAAGATCGGAATATAAATTCAAAGAGAGTTCTAGAAACATTAACTCAGATATTACCTTAGCAAAAATCGATAACCAATACAAATGCTCGACAGGAGATAGTTCATTGCATAAACCATAAAATACGAATAGTAAAAAACAAACAAACAAAATAAATTATATCTTATCTTTAATCAAATCTATATCTCAATTTACGGACGAGGGTTGAACTCTGTCTCATTTCGCGCTAATAGCCGCCGACGCACCTGCCTATTCTTGCCGGCTAATAGAATTTTGATTGCCAAAACTGAAATGACAATGTTCAAAACTAACCGCTTATTCTGAAATTTCCTTGTAATTTCGGAAGCCCCTCTTGGAGAACTAAATATAGATATTATTCAACTGGTTATAAGCCCCTCTTGGGGAGCTAACAATATATAATTTCATTTGGGTAATTACTGGTGGTAGGACCTCTTGTGAGTCCGCACGGGTAGGGACCACCACCCTGCCTATTTCTGCCGTGAAGCAGTAATGCGTTTCGGTTTTGAAGCGTGGGGCAGCTGTTGTAACCATACTGAGACCTTAGGACTTATAACTCAAGGTGTGTGGCGCATTTACGTTGTAGATGTCTATGGGCTCCAGTAACAACTTAACACCAGGTGGGCTGTGAGCTCCTCCACCCATCATAGCATACCATATATATATATATTATTCAACTGGTTATAATTGGAAAAATGCATATAATAATATATGCTCTTTAATAAGTATGTTATATCCGTGGAGACGTTTGCCTTAAAGATCCGTTTTATTTATTTACTAGCTTTTGCCTGCGACTTCGTCCGCGTGGAATAGTTACTTTGGGATTACGCTAAATTTTACCCGCGACTTCATTTAGGTAGAAGGTGAAAATATTTTTGAATAACAGAATGCTAAGGAGCTATTTTTAAGGTACCAAAATCACGCTGTTTAACCGACTTCAAAAGGTTATCAATTCGACCACCATTTTTTATCTATGTACGTTCAACGATTTCTCGAGAATGGTTGAAGTGATTTTGATAATTCATTTTTTTTTTGTTCGAAAGACTAGACTGTCCGAATGGTCCTGTACTCATCAGGATCTGATGATGGGATTCTAGAGACCCAGAAAAATCTACAATTTTCAAAGCAAAAACTTAGATGTTAAAACATAAAATAAATCCATAAGCTTATTTAACGAGCATAGGAATTCATAAAAAAAAAGTAAGATCTTTGAATTTTTCTATCTGCATTGCTAGGTGAATGAACTCAAGCTCTGGCTAGGGTGTTACTGGTACCAATAGATATTAAGGTGTGATGGCCTGCTTCATGAAGGTGGTATTTACGCATCATTGGTACAATACAAAAAATATTCGAAACAAAATAATCAAATAACATTACGTAATTGTAAAGATAAAAACGACATGTTTTATTACTGTAATCTGTGGTAAATAAGCGCTCGAAAGGCGGCAAAGCAACAATTAACACATCCGCGAACCGTATCGACTCGTGAAAACATTACAGTAATGAATACAGCCTACGATATTGTTAATCTTTAATAAACTTAATGAACGAATCAAGGTGCTGGTGATGTATTATCTGTGCTCAATGGCGCTGTGTCAATTTCTCCACTTTTTGACGAGAACGCGAGGGACGTTGTGTGTGTGTGTGTGTGTTTTTTTTTTTGTCTATTTAGTGTTTTTTCAGGTTTAAATGTGTAATAATGGTGGTTTATTAACTGTTTAATATCTGTGAAATTGCACAAATGTAGGAAAATGAAACAAAGCTGCTGGACGTAACTTCATGGGATCCTCCAAAAAGTCCACTGAAAAAATCTTAGTAAATGACCACCATTTTACTGAGATTATATTTCATCCCAGTTGATTAATGTCCCAAATTTATCATCTTCATATCATTTAACTCCATATTATCATATTTCATAAAAATAAGAATATAAATTAAAATAAGACATGACTTAAAGGTCCTAGTTACCAGGACACAAAAACTTTTAAAAAAAATATATTTATTTCTCCGATGACGTAAGTACACTTTGTTGTTTTAGATCGAATTTCTTCGACCATTTTAAATTTTTAATTATTATTGTTATAAAAACATATTTTTTATGTCAAAATAGGTACTCTAAAAGGCTCTTAGTGGGATGGCTGAAAATAAAAATTGCTATTTACTGAAGAGTGTTCGTTACAAATCGCGACTTCACATAATATACGTTATATAAAATGCATTGATAGTATACATGGTCGTCAGTTGCAAACGCGTTTAGCCGCCATTTTGGCTACTGACCTTTTTTTTATTATTGCTTAGATGCGTGGACGAGCTCACAGCCCACCTGGTGTTAAGTAGTTACTGGAGCCCATAGACATCTATAACGGAAATGCGCCACCCACCTTGAGATATAAGTTTTAAGGTCTCAAGTATAGTTACAACAGCTGCCCCACTCTTCAAACCGAAACGCATTACTGTTTCGCCTCAGAAATAGGCGGGATGGTGGTACCTATCCCTGCGGATTCACAAGACGTCCTACCACCAGTAATTACGTAAATTATAATTTTGCGGGTTTGATTTTTATTACACGATGTTATTCCTTCACCGTGGAAATCAATCGTGAACATTTGTTGAGTACGTATTTGATTAGAAAACGTGGTACCCGCCTACGGGATTCGAACACCGTTGCATCGCTCAACACGAATGCACCGGACGTCTTATCCTTTAGGCCACGACGACTTCAAACGTATTAGAAGAATTTTAAAACGAAAATATTTTTTAAATTATCATCACGTGTGACTCACACATTTCTCTTCCTCTTAAAGGGAAGATATATAAGACCCTTAATAAGGCCTGTCATCTTGTATGGATCAGCTTTTTTGGACCACTAAAGTGGCGGATGAAAGGCGATTGCATCCAGCAGAAATGCAAATGTTTCGATGGATGTGTGGAGTAACGAGAATGGATCGATAATGGATAGAATACGGAATGAATATATTGAAGGAGGTCTGAAAGTGGCACCTGTCACAAAGAAGTTGAAAAGTGCGCGTTTGGAATGGTATGGACATGTAATGAGACGAAATGACAATGAGGTTGTGAAAAGAGTTTTAACTATGAATGTGTGTGAATGGAAAAAGCTTTAGAGGAAGAAGTATACCTAAGAAGAAGTGGATGGATTGTTTGAAAGACGATAGGTATATATAATAGGGGATTGAGCGAAGAAATGATATATGAGAGAGGAGTATGGAAGGGAAAAACATGTTGCGTCGACCCCAGGTGACTGGGAGAAGGATAGGAGAATGATGATGATGACGAGCGTTGGCTGTCCAAGTCTTCTAATCGGTTTTATTTTCCTACCTAAGCTTATGGTCTAGAGAGACCATGTCAGCCTCACCCGGCTAGTAGGTGAGCTCACGATGATGATGAGCCTGACGATGTTGCTAGCACGAACCCTAGCAAGAGCAGTGCTTCGCAGAATCTACCACCGG